AGAAGCTGTGGCTGCCCCATCCCTGGAATCATTGCAGGCCAGGTTGGATGGGGCTCAGAGCAGCCTGATCCCAGTGAGGGTGTCCCTGCTCAGTGCAGGGGGTTGGACTCGCTGGGCTTTAAAAGTCCCTTCCAACCCAACCCATGCTGGGATTCACTGATTCCCTGAGATGTTGGCATTTCCTTTCCAGTGGGGAATGAATTCCTCTTTGTTCTCCTCCCTGAGTTTCTTTGCAAAGAAGGGATCTCATCTCTGGGTCAAACTGCTGACTGACCCCCCAGTCTCCAGGTTTCTGTACCTTTAATTCCATGTGTCTCTCCAGGAGTTGGTTTAATATAAAGGTCAGTCCCTTGCTCAAGGCCAGGGCCACAGGAAGCCCCTTCTTTGGGAATGTCTGGGAATCAGGTTTGGAGAATCCCTGGCCCTGGGCCCAGGCAGTGTCCCAGAGGGGAATCTGTGGGTCAGCACTTTGCATTTCACTCACTGTAAACACTTGGATTTAGGAAAACTCAGAGTAAATATTGGCTTTGACTTTCCATTGGTCAATATTTACTGATTCTGTCAATAAAACCTGTTCCAGCTGCTGAGCTGAGAAAGGAAAGGTGGCCTTTGGGACTGCCACTGAAAACCAGGAAATAAACTCTCTGAACAGTCTGTGGGGTTGGAAAGCTGACATTAATCAACTCTAATTACTTGAATCACTGTTAAGGTGCGTGGGGGTAACTCCAAAAAACATGTACCTCAGTTACCAAAACTTTGAACTCTGAATACATTTCAGCAAAGAAAGGAATTAGTGTTCATTGGCTACAAGTCACGTGGTTCTCTTCCTTAATTAGTGTTCTATCCTCTCTTGGTTATTGATCTCTCACTTCTCTTGCTGGTTGGTGCACATTTTTCAGTCCCTTTTATTCCCTTTTCCCTAGACAGGGCATCTCTGGTTCCTGTGATGTGTCCTGGTGGTTTATAAATCCTGCATTCTCCTTGTCCAGCTCTAAACAATGAATTTCTCTCCCAGTCTGGGACCACTGAAGAATGTCAGGCCCTGAACTTTTAGTCTGTTTTTCTAACAAATACATGGACACCACCCAGAGCTTGCCCCTCATCCATTATCTCTCCCAGGGATTAAACCCCCTGGCAACGATTCCCCCCAGAGCTGCACAGGCTCCTTTTTAAGGAAATAGGGTTGGTTTGGGGACAGTTCCCTTGGGAGGAGAACCTCCTTCCCAGGCTGTGTGGGGACCACACTCTGCCTCAGGGGGTGGTGTCTCCTCTGGCTGGTGGTGCCCCTGCTTGGGATCCGTTGCCAGTTCCATCCACCACTCCCACCTACCCTGTTGCTCTTCCTGATGGATCAGCTTCCTGCTTTTTCATGTTTGAAGGCCAAGGAGCACAATTATTCCTGATTCTTTAATTGGGGGGTGAAAATCTCCTGCTTTGGGATATAAATCCTGGTTCCCTCCTCTGTGTCTGGCAGTTCCTCTCTGGGAACCAGGAATGGGGATGGGGACAGGGGGGACCAGGATGGGGACACTGGGGACAGGAACAGGGACACTGGGAGCAGGCTGGGCATTACCAGGAGTGGGAGTGGGCACAGCAGGAACGGGAGTGGGCACAGCAGGAATGGGAATGGGCACAGCATGAACGGGAATGGGCACAGCAGGAAGGGGAGTGGGCACAGCAGG